TGGGGGGGGGGGGGGGGGCATCCGCCAGGACTGACTGCTGCGCTTGTCCTTCGAGGGTACGCTTCTCACACCCAGCACGAAAGCTCTGTCACAATCTTGGAACAACTGGGTTTCTTGCAAAGTGCAGGGGATCATGCTCAACCCCTCCCCCCCCAGGTCAATGGTCTAACGACTACGGCATGCACGACTATGAGTATTCCCCCTCCCATGCCACGAAGATTATCTGTTGCTTTTGCCGAGAGAGAAGAACAGAGTCAACCCAAATAAACCAGGGGTAACGGGGGTCTTGATCTGTACGGAATGTTGTGAAAGAATAGGGTGCAAGGAGTACCTACACGGGCCAACAGATGCAGGGACAAAAGCTGAAGGTCAGATTTAGGACTTGCGAGATCGGCCTTCGAAAACGTAGACGAAGATTTAGGAAGGTAAATTAAACGATGAAGACGACAAGTAAGTTCAACTGCTGTGAATGAGGCTCCGAGTGCGCAGACCGGTTTCACGTAGTTGCAGCACGTCCGTTGTTCCAGAAGGAGAGGAAAGTGTACATGACTGAGCTGGGAAACGTAGAAGGAAGATACAGGGAGATGTTTGAGGCATGGGATAAATAGCCAGGAGAAGACGGTAGCCGTACTGGGACATAGGAAGTGGGCTGAAAAGGTGGGAGGTGGTATCAGTAGGAAATATAGGCTTAGGGATAACACTTTTGAACCACCTTTGGCAAAGCAGGAAGGAACGAACTACGCTCCGTCCTCTCGAGGACGCGTGGTAGTCAATGGCCGAACAATAAAGGCGCACGCAGAACATCAGTAACTCTACGCACCCAATAAAGATGTACCCCGAGATCGGAAGACACTTGTTTCCGGGAACCCTACTTGATACACAACGGAACGTCCGCCCGTGTCTACGTGTCGCCAAAAGGGGGAATCTACTGTAGTTGGCGAGAATTGCACGAGACCAACTGCAACGACGTCCAGCGCATGCTTCTCCTTGAAGAGCCATTGCCTACCAGTCTTTGCAAACCATCGGGATCGACGCCACCAACGGTTGGGAGAGCAACACCCCCCCACAAGACAAGCCCCAGACGACTCCGACACTCAGAGAGTCATTTACGCGCGGAGGATGCGAACACGGTGCACCTGGGGGCGATGATTCGGGAGAGACTTAAAAAGCATCCTTGAGCAGGGGTTGTTTGTTTCGTTACGTCTAAAAACCGTTGACTGAACACATCAAGAAAGGCACTCCCTGGGCGGAAAGCCACCACTGCCGTTCAAAGATGAGAGCATCCAGCCGATCGCTTGCAAGCAACAAAGACCTTTCTGTGCGTGTACGCATATTTTCCTGATGGTATTTTCTACGGCAAATAAAAAAGTTCAATAGCCCACCAACGGAGAGGGTCGTACACAGAGTGTACATAGGACATCATCGGCCGCGAAACGCACAAAGGTTGTACTGCTGTAAATGGTACCTTGTAGTGATTTCAGATATTTGGATAAATGTTCAGATATTTGGATAAATGTATGTATACATGCATGTACGGACAAGGAAACCAGGTCGCCCTCGGTTGGACTCCAATCAACGTGTACCGCTTGTGCCGTACAACGTGAACGGCCTTCTCAAGGCTGAGAGAACGGGGGGGGGGGGGGGTACATACATACTTGTAGTCTACACTTCAAATTCCTCATCATTATGGTCAAGAACATGATACTGACGGCGAATGGTGCACTGAAGCGTTGCCGTAAACATATACCTATAGTTCACTGGTGCTCATACTCCCGTGGAGATTGTGCACTGTAGGCTACACGGAAGTCGCACATTGTCGCATACTTCATGAGGGCATTTCCAGTGTCGGCAAGGTTGCGCGACGACAGGCACAACAACTGCTGTACATCGTACTGTAGATGTACTTCGAGAGAATGTACATGTACACACGGGTGGCCCTGCTGCTGCCTGTGTTGCTCCCCTCCGCCACAAAAACCAAAAGTGATCAAGGGCAACCCAAACAGAGAGGAGGCGAGGGACAAGGACACCCACGTTAATGTTACAGTACGTGCAGAGTGGACGATCACAACATGAACAGAGAGAGAGCGGGGCGCGGATAGAGCGAGCCGACATCAAATGCCTTCCCTGCTGTTCAGAAGCCGCCTTATGATGCAATAAAAGGCTACAGGAACGGAAAGAGAAGACCTCACAGATAGATGCCTTGAATGACACGCACCTCGATCGCCCACACATTGCCCTCACACAGAACAGAACACACACGGCGTCGTCGGTAGGCGGTGGGTACGCTGTGTTGTAGGCACCGGGCACCGGGAACGGTCCGCGCACATTAGAAAGGGGATGCGGAGATGAGCGTCCCCGGGGGGGAAATTAGCGAAGCGTCCCCTTATATAGTTTTCGGCGTCTTTTGTGGCGTGTCACCCACCTCTCATCTTCTGCCCGGTCGTGCCATCTACCAGCCAGCCCACCCACCCAGGAATCGACCGTTCACGGCAGCCCGCCTCTAGACCGCCGAGAGCACCGGACGAGGAGGTCAAACCGGTGTTATTTTCCCTCTTCGCGGCGAAGGCATGACGGAGTTCAACGTTAATCAACGTCATCATCAGGGCGAAGCTTTCATCAAGAAGAAGAGAGATAGCAACAACGACGAGGACAACGACGCGGCGTTTCTGACGAACAAGCGCCAAAGGAGCATGGCTGATCACCAAGAAGAAGAGCAGCTACAGCCGCCGCAGACTCGCCGGATGGTCACCGACGGTATGGGTTGTGTTGGTTTGGTGGAGAGGTTGGCCCAGTCGAGTCATTTTCTTGCCGTCCCGTCTCTCACGACGACCAACTTGCCCAACCCCACCGACGAGGCTGTCTCGAGAAGCCTGCTGCCCCAGACCTCGCCACCGAAATTAATCAACCGCGAAGAGAGTAGCAGCACAGAAAGAAGCATGAGCGGCAGCACCGCTAGTAGCAGCAGCGTTAGTAGCGCGAGGGATGACCGCGAGTCAGTTTTCACTCCGATGACCAACACCGAGGGCGGCGCCGAGATCGATTCTCCCGCCCCGCTTCCGAGCAGTTTCAGTCAGAAGAAGGGAGACTCGGTTCAACCCCCCGCTGACAGTAGCGAGCAGAGTTCGTCGAGCGACGAGTGGGTGTGCAGGGCGTTCGGGGAAGAAGCTTGCGAGAACGACATTGCGCACCGCATGTGGTCCTTGAGGAGGCGCGGCTTCGACGAGCATTGCATGCGAATAATGGATGAGTGTGTGTATGAGAGTGATGACGAAGATTTCATGGCGTGCCCGGAGGGTCCGTATAGAAAAATCGATATGGACGCAGCAGTCGACGAACAGCAAGAAGAGGAAGGGGCAGCAGAAAAGTTTGACGGCATCCACGCGCACGAGCCCCCGCTCCCCGAACCGATAGTGGTGACGCCTGAAAGACTTCTGTTGTAGGTTTGGCGGTGACCCGAAATAACAAAAAACGGTTGTCGTTGTTCCCCTCGTCGCTCCTCTCTTCGTATCCGTGCTCTTTGCAGAGAAGTTTCGTGTCTTACTACTGCTGTACTCTGGAGTACAGCAGTGATGTTCTGGTGGGGTGTTTTTTTCTTGATGGGGCAGGCCTGCTTGTGTTATTTACGATCGTTCCCGTTTTCGAAAGGTGCGCATAGATGCGGCGGTTCGCCACTCTTAGCTGCTGAGGAAAACACCTGGCACCCGCCAGTCATGGACCGATACGGGAATTAATTGCCTTCATGTTTAACAGGCAAATACTGCTGTACAACACCATTCTTGGCTAATGTCTCATTTTGCAAGTGATTTGTTTCAACGAACGATGTTTGCGGCGGCACTCTTGAAGAGAGAGAGCCCTCGGGAGGGTGGGAAGAGAGTCGTGTATCAGTAGGTCCGAAGATGTCTGCTTGTTTCCAACTGTGTTCTGCTGCTCAATCTACCGCGCTGGTCTCGCGCCAGCACATGCACCCCTCCCAGGCTCTCGTTTTTTCTCTGCACCTCGCAGCTTGGAGGGGGAGAGCCAACGTGAGGTTGCTTTGCCGGAGTTCCCACGCCAAACAGGGAGTACGACAGAGCCAGCTTCCACGCTGTTTTTGTACGTATAGAGGGTGTTGGGTTGATGTCAGTGGAGTGCATTACTTTTTTTTCCCAGTCCGCCGAGACGCTTTCTTGCATGTTAAATGTACGATGTTGAACGAGCACACTTGAGCGAACAGAAGATCGAACGTTTGGCGCGTTGCGGTTTGATGACTGCTGTTGTTAGATGCTTACATTCAGTTAACTGCTGTGTGTCTCAGGTGTATCCTTGCGGGCAGTTGGTTGGCGGCACCGCGTGTGCTATGCAGATGCCGGTCTCTCCGCGTTTTGTTCTTTTGCATGATCTGCGGATTTCCTTGATTTCCTGATTCTATCCGCTCCGACTTGTTGCCACCCACCTGGGCTATGGCGACGTGGCTTGGCTTGGTGACCTATGGTCATCGACAGGACGGTGTCCGATTCGATCGGCGAGCACCGCTGTGCCGCGGCCGACATGATCGCACGTGCTCGAGGGAGAGGGGTGAGATGTTCGACGTTTTGTCGTCTTCAAAATACCGATCATGTAGAGCATTTATCGCTCAAGTCGTAGTTTGGTGTCTTGCGCCGTTGTGTGCATGCGGTGATACAGGTAGAGGAGGAGATATATTTGGGCACAAGGGACGGGGGATAGAGAAAGAGTTCGGGTTTAAATTAGAATTCCATCGCTTAAATGTTGACGCCGTGCCCACTATGTGCGGACACGGCGCGAAACTGCTACATCTTTGAGCCGCACGCTGTAGTAGCGGTTTGCGAAAGGTAGGCAACCGTTGCCATCTTACTCGCTCTCCCCTCAACTAACAGCAGTGCAGGCATTTTTTTTCGCAAGCGGGGGAAACCACGCTAAACCGGCCGACGATCCCTTCGCAAAACCTTTGCTCATCTCAAAGTGAGCATACATTTTTTTTTTTGTGGCGCACATGTTTTCGATGCCACTCCTTGTGTTAAGAATGTTGTGCCTGTTACCGCGTTGCATTGGAATGCGCGCAGCCGCTTGCCCCCCCCCCCCCCCCCTCCCCCATTCCGCCTGCCCGCAACGCCGTGCCGATGCCAGTTCTGTTGCCGAGTGCGGTTTGCGTACCCGCTACCCGCGTCTGGCGCTCAACGAGGCAACGCCGTCGAGCGACTACAAAAACAATTCTCCCACCGCCCCCCCAACAAGCCTCCAACACACCGTGGGTGCGTTATTCCATCTAGAAGAGTCTCATGTTTGTGCTTGTCGCAAAACGCATGGCAGGCCGGTGGGACTTCTCGTCAGGGGATTTTTTGTTTTGTGACGGGCCGTTTTGACCGTCGTCATGTTTTGTCCCCTGTGGGAATCCGTTGGATTCGTTTTCGGAGCAGTGAAACGCCTAAAAAGCCCGGCGCAAAATCTCGCCAGATTCGGCCGATGTGTGGGCAGATATTTTCATTTTTTCGTTTTTTTTTGTTTGTTTCCATCGCTAATATTGCCTTCATTTGCCCCTGCGGTTGTGGCATTTGCCCCGGCCTTTGTGCCTGGGCCGGATGTCCCCCACACCTTCGTGGCTGCAGCCACGTACAATCAGCTTTAGCGTGATGGAGCAAACAAGCGGCCGTGGTGGCGTGGAGTGGGGAAGGGGAAGGTAAATCGTATCTTCCCGGATGGTTGGTGGGTGCCGGTGCTGTGCTCGCAACCGTATCAACTCAAGGCGTGCATTCGTTTTTGCCAGAGACGGCTTTCAAGTCCCCACTCTGTACGTCTCCCGCCTGCTTTTGCATCCGGAAGTTGGTGTACACCTGCGTGTAGTTTTTTTTTTTTTTGTGCGTTGGTGTGTGCGTTGTCGCATGCCCCGGCCCGTCTCTCCTTTGCCCGCCTGTACTGCTGACCGCCAGCGCGACACTTCCATCGGCACGATTGGCGCCCGCTGCGACCACCGAGAGCATCACGCGCTGAATGACCATCATGAGAGACCCCGCCTACATCGCTTCCCGAAACACGAAGATTGTGGGTGCCAGGACACGGTTCTGTCCGCGCTTTTGTTCCATGTGAAGTGACCAAGCGTCATCTAAGGAATGTTTTTCTGCTTGTGTTGTGAACCAGGCAGTTCCTTTCGTGAGAACGCATCGAAGCCTCTTTCCGTTATTTACACCTTCGCGTTACTATCTCACGCCCTGTAGTATGTTCGGTTGGCGTGGGTGGGTGGGCAGAAACAGCCCGGTCCAAAATCTCGGGACACTTCAACCTTGGTACGTGTTGGCATATGTTTGGAAGTATGTCGTTCGTCCCTCCTCCCCCATGTCGTTTGATTGGCATTTTTATTGCCTCATGCGGTCGTGGATGCTTGCCCCGACCTCTTCTGCTCCAGGACTCCCTGCTCATTCTCGTGGCTGCCGCATGCCTGTTGAACGTGAGGGAGCCAAATGGTATTTATTGAGTGACAAATGCTTTCCTTGGAAGGTAACGCGCCTTGAGACCCGAAAAATGTTTTTGCAACGACACGCCTGGGACGGGCAGGTTCCCCATATCACTGACGGTAAACTTTGCTGTGCCGCGAAGCAGGAACAAGCGTCAAAAAGCCCAAATACATACATGTGGTCCTCCCACTTCAGTTGTTGTGTTCTTAAGTCCCCCCGCCCCCGCTCCTAGTCAAAACAACGTCGTGACCGTAGTCACTTGGGTGTGTAAGTTTTCCGGTTGTCCGAAGACCCAACAGCGGTGTGTAAGATGAACTGATGAACTCTTGGGGCCTCCCAAGTTCTCCCTTCCTCAGCGGTTGCTACCGATCAAAGGGGCTCTACAACGTAAGTCCCTTCAATTTTCCGAGACCTATCACTTTTGGGTTCTATCCCGCGGCTGCCCCCGTGCCCCTCAGGGCGGGGGTGCTCTCCCCACTCACTCGCCCTCCCCATGTTTCCTGCTCACGTCACGCAACTCGAGCGGCTACCAAGCGACCGTGTGGGGTTACGAACAGGGCAAGATGTGTGCGTCCTTGGTTGGCCCAAGAAGCGTGAACCGTCATCAGCAGGCGCATTTACTTGTTTGCCGCTATGGTCCCGTTGGTGCCGCACCTTTAGCCACACGGAGACTGCTATAGGGTCGTTGCGTCTTGGTTGCTTGTAAACTGCTATCGGCGCAAGCGCGGAAGTAAAGGTGGAGGTTTCGTTTTTATTCCGTGGGTATAACCTGCCTTGCGCCGTCACTGTCTTGAGCACAGGAACTAGGAAGCGTCATCAACATTTTTCTGTGCCAGCATACCGGTTGGAAGTCACGTTACGTTGGTAACGGTTTTGTGTGGTGCTCTTCGGGACGACACGTGCGTGTTTCGCTGAGCGTATCTTGTCGCCCAAGCAAACGAGACGTCAGCCTATATTTTTCCCTCGGCGATATACCCCGCCATATTTATTGTACGCCTCCGCGACCACCGAACGGAAGAGCCCCGGCCTGTCCAGTCGCCTCCGTTGGGGAGGGCACCTCATATCGGCGTTCTTACCAAACCACTCTGAACTCCCCTGAATCCCTCAACACTTTCGGCGATTCGGCACGGCCGCCTTTGAGGAGTGCAACGAAGTGGCAGAAAATCCTCTTTTGGTGGAGATTGTTGCGTACGCAGAACCCAAAATTCGGGGTAGACACTGCCGCGGTGTCGACCAGATAAACATGATGGGTTGCAGAGTGTCCACTTTCTGACGGACATCAGCCGATTCGCAATTTTCACGAAAATATGTTGTGAAGCAAGCGTTGAGCACTTCGGAGAGAATTAATTGCCTCTTGTGTTCGGTTCGTTGCTAGAAGAGAGCCACAAGGCAACAATCGCGAGAGACAATAAAAGGAGTAGAAACCTCTGCCTTGTCTTTGCCTTCTTACCACCGAATCGCCAAACAAACGGAGCCAACGCCGACTCGTGTCGGGGTTCTCTCCCTCGTGAAGGAAAAAAGGACAGCCGCGGTCGAGTCAAAGTGGTGGCGGACAGGTGGTGTGCCTGTGGAGAAGTATTCATGCCTTTTTTGAAGAGTCCCATCGATCGCCAAAAATTAGAACGTTCGCGTTAGCGTGCTTCTGCGCAACTGCCGCAACACGACTTGATGTGCCCTCGTTGTTGTAAGGAAAGAGTGGGTGGCACACTCCCGGAAAAAACAGCGGTTCACAGCCCTCGAAACGGGCCGGTCTGTTGCAGGCACGTGGAAAAAAGTCGATTCGTACTGCCCGCACAAGCGTAGTTGAAGAACCAAGCACACCCGACCCCCCTTCCTCCCACAAAAAAAATGCGTACAGGTACTCCTCAAGGTGACTTATCTCCCGAGATAGATGCTGATGATATGAAATGCTTCCACAGCATCTGGAGAAAGTTCATGCGTAACCTCGAAAACTCTCTGGACCACGAAGGAATCGATAGATAAGGCCTCAAATTCCCGTTCCCACTGAAGTCTTTCTCTGATCCTCGGACTGCCGTCCGACCCGAGGCTAAAACCTGCTTTCCTCAGCTGCAAGTCTCGACGCTGTTGCAAAGAGCACACTTAACGAAAATGCGGGGCGAAGCGATGAAGCAGCAGCTGCGCTCACTCATCGCAGGAAAATCGTAGGGGACATTTAAGAGCCACCTATATCAGACTCAACCTGTACTCTTTGAAGGGTGTCGGCCGACCAACGAGTAAATTTCGGCTGCACCAAATCAGACGATTCTAAGCCCCGCCGCACACACCTCACAACAAACGACGCAAGGCTAGAGAGAAGAACTGCCGCAAAATAGCTGTAGTAATGGCGATGAGCGTGATGGTGCTCCAAAACGAACTCGAGTGCAAGGTAGAAGCATTACCGCACCACTCCTGTGTTTTTGTGTTTTCAACCGCACTGAGACTTGACATCTTTTCATTGGTAAGCCTGTGAGCGCGGTCGATGCAAATAATAAAGACACACACTCCCCCCCTTTCCTTGGCATGATTAACCACTCCCTCAACCAAAATCTCAAGCTTCGATGAGGGTTGCGAGCGACGCCAGCCGCGCCAGCCAAACACGGCAAAACGAGCGTCTAGCTCAGACTTCCACGTACTCCTTCTTGAGAATCGCAGCGATCGTCGGCCAGGAGGCAAGGCTTACCACCTCCGCGTGAGAAAGGGTCTTGCCCTTTTCGGGGGTGCCCCCAGTGCCCTCCGAGAAGATCGTGTGCAGCGGAGCGCTCTCCTTGATCTGTTCATTTTTGGCACGGGAAAGGGGGGGAGGGGCGGTTGAAGTTTTTTCTCGCTCAACTTTACGCTCACATACAAAAGCGGTGCTACGAAAGGCGTTCAACATTCCACAGCGTGCTGTCTGTTATGTTCTACATAGTTGTGGCGGACGACAATTTTGATATCGAGTTTCCTGTCTCCCTCTCCCGCCCCCTCCTCCCGGAATAATCAATGCCCGGGAACCTAGAAAAAGAGACAACAGAAATGAACCTGTCACCAATATCGACATCAATCCCATCGACGCCTTCCCCGCGAAAACACACGACCAGACACGAGACAAACAAAAAAAAGGGATGCAAACGTACTGCCATCACAACAAAAGAGAAGACAACCTCAACAAACACCGAAGTGCAAAAACAAACAAACATTTCCTGCTCTTTAACTTGGCCGAGTTGGGTTTGGGCAGACAAGCACAGAACAGTCCAACAAGTATGACGCACCCAGAAAACACCAATCCACACGACCACTAACAGCACCGACACCGAAAACCAAATGCTGAGGCACGAGACTCCATCCAAGCAAGCCCCGAAAAAGCAAGGCACCCCCGTACGGCAATGCCGTGGCGTACAAACACAACACCGGTCACGGTGCTAATCACATCGCAGCGCACCTGTCCGTTAACCTGGGCGAGCGGGGAGACCGGCGGCGTGTAGAGAAGCGCGCTGCGGAAGTGCAGCAGGGCCGCTTCTCGCTCCAGGCCGGTGTGGATGCATAGCCGGAGGGACGGCAGCTTGGCCGACCGGAAGGGGAGTCCCGAGTCGGTGCTGTAGTGGCGGAGCTCCGGGACGGCCTCGATGAGACTGGGTACGACTGATTCCTCTACGAGCACCACCTGCAAGAGAACCGGTCAAAGCACGCAATGACACAAAATAAAACAAGAACAAACGAGAGGCCGGATGAGTCAATCGCCGTGCGAAGAACGACGAGACAGAGACATCAACGGCGTGGCGTCTTCGTGAAATGTTCATGAAGGCGAAACAAGGATGGTGCTACCATAACGCTACCCCGAATACCTTCATGTTGTTGCCGCAAATCATGTTGCGGGGGCACAGCGTAGACACGGGGGCCTGGATGCGGATGAAGCGCCCCGAAGATACTGCTATAAACAGCACTAAGGCCGCCATAGACAAGAACCTTTTCTACACAACAAAACGTGCGCCTACGACTCAAAACATAACCACCACGCATCCATGCATGCCTGGCGTCCATCTCGTGCTGTGAAATCCATGAAGGCTTTTACAGCCAAGTCCCACCACAACAAGAGATACAATATACCAAGGCGAGTCTTTCCGTGCCCGAACGGACGCCAAACAATAGGGGCGTGGTTCCACCTTCGGAGGGAGACCGTGCACGACGTTATACCAACGGAGATCTCCACGCAAGCAAGCTCGAGCAACGGTCATTGGGGAAAAAAGCGCACACCTGTCTAAACAGGCGTTTTTCCTTGTCGCAATCTCCATAAAAACCATATGCCGATGTCTCCGTAGTACCATTTTATATCCGTACTTGGTCCAACAATCGATGAACGAATCTCAACAGCCAACAGAGACTGAACAAGCTTACATTGTACACAACAAGCGGCGCCAGAAACCGAAATACCGCCCCCCGTTCCCCCTCTTACCGCCGCGCCGGACTCCTCTAGGATTTTCTCGACAGCTGCTGCCGACCCAAGCTTGGGGTCCACCTCGGCAACCACCATCCCTATCCTCGCCGCCGCCAGCTGCGCCACGTGCTTCTCCGAGCACTCCGGCAGCCACATCGCCATCGTGTCCCCGGCCTGCCCCACGTGGCGAAGGCGAAAAAGATCGTTCGGAAAAACGTCAGAAGGAAGAAAGAAAACATCGTTCCGGCGACGCGCAAGATTGACTCCAACGTATGGTACGAAGATTATGAAACGGGGTACCACAAAGTGCAGCAGTTTCCGACATATGTAACCGTACCAGCATCTCTAACGTGCCGCCCCCGTGCCCCGCCCTCTTCGGCGTGACATCCCGGCTCCGACACGGCGGTCCGGTCGCACGCGGAGCGTATAGTAGTGTTTTTTTCTTTTCGCTGGGTTTTCCAACCGCAACCAACCATGACCAATCAATATCTTCGCTCAAACCGATCCAATAGAGAAAAGGACTAATCCACCTCCGCAACAACCCGGCGCTCTAAAACTAACACGGAAAACAGAGGCGTATACAGAAACACAAGCGGAAACAGCCTTGCGATCACTTCTGTTCTAGTTCTAGTGGGCGTCCGTCTCTCTCATGGTGATCACCGTCCTCGGCGTTCCCTCACCTTGCACCCCAGCTCAAGAAGGCCGCACGCGAGTGCCTCAGAGTGGCTCTTCACGTCGGATCTAGTCCACTTAAGGTTTCCCTTCTTGTAGCGCACGGCCTCCTTCATCGGAATCTCCGCGAGCACCTTATCCACCTTCGACGCCAGCCCTCCCAAAAATCGACCTGCTTTCCCCCCCGCCCAGCAAGCCCCCCCCGCGCGCGCAAAAAAAAAAAAGGGAAGGTCAGAGTGATAAACGAGCTTCAGCTTTGTCTCCTGTGTGTCTCGGGCAGAAGCTGAAACAGCATGTGCGCATGTACCGTGTGTGGTCAAGCAATAATGGCGGCCAAGCCCCCAACTACCTTACGGGGGGTGCATCTGGGACTAAACCAGGGCACCGATTTTCTACTCCGCGTCGCCTCTTCTGGCGCACAATCAAGACGCCGCTGGCGGGCCAAAAAACGAGCGCGGCGTTGTGCGTAAGTGTGTGTAGTAGGACGAGAAGCGGCATCCGTTCGACGAGAGCAGGCGGAACGCACAAGCAGCATTCCACGGTCAAGCCACGCCTGTATTTACTTGGACGTGGAGTATACGCACATAAATATGACTGCGCATGCTAATGTTGGTAGGATCTATAGATCGATGGATCGGATCGATCGATGGATCGGATCTATGCTGTATGGATCGGAATGGCACGGAGTGGGTGGAAATTTGCTCCGGACATACCGCGCATGTCACGTCTGCGAGGCTTTGAAACTGGCTCAGGTGGCTTCGAAGATTTTATAAGATTTTTGTCGATGACGGCTGCTAGCCCACCAACATATGTACCGTGAGTACGCTGGTGCGGTTGCCTCCTGCAAGACAGCCGGGAGCATGCACACATTGCCTCTCACAGCAGCACTTCAAACGCCGCCAAAAAGTTTCTCACATCCGAAGCACCAGCGAAAAACGGTCAGAGGAGCGTACACAGGATGTATGTAAAACTGCATGCCCAGTCGTTCAAACTCCAGAGGGGTGAAGGTCGACCTATGCCATTCAGGGTAGTCATGAGGCTGCTGTGCTGACTAGCACACATTTTTGGTAGAGAGACGAGATACGCACCCTGAGTTGTCAGAGGCATGTCCCCTGCTGCTGCTGCTGCCGTCGCAGCCTTTAGCGCAACCGCAGCGCCCCGCCTGCTGAGCGACGCGACATTTCGTGGCCTCAAGCAGCCAGCGTGCTCCGCCGCTCTTCCGGTCGCCCTGGCCAAGGACTGCATCCTTTTTGCCTGCCGTCTCTCTGGGTAGTGAGCAATCCGGCCAAAATATACGCAACGCAGCAGCAGCAGACCAAAAGGGCAGGGTGGGACCGTGGGACGTGATGACGGACAAAATAGAACAGGGGATCAATCACACGAGGGTGGGGAGGACAAATGCTGCATGGCCTGATCCTCTCACACGAATGCTTGCAGCATCCCTATCAGTCCCCCTTCCTCTCTCTGCCCGCGTGTGCATTGCCCCTCTCTCTCTGTCTCTCTCTCAGACCCCCTTGCTCAGAAGAGCACAGCAGCCGAGGCCAAGGTATCTCTGTCCGGGGTATTGATTTCGTGTGCACAATATACTTCGGCAATCCCAACTACTCGATCACAGCTACCATGCCAGCAATTTTCTCACCGCTTGGTGGCTCTCCTGCTCTTCGGCCGTGCCGGCCTTTCCCCTCCTGTCTCCCCTCTCAAACACACACACGGCCTCTCCGTGGAATGTGCACACGCAAAAAGTTTGCGTGCTGGGAGTTCAAGGAGGCGGTGTGCCCCGCGAAAAAAAAAATGTTCGAATGTGCCTGTCGCTCTTACTGCTGTTGTAGTCCGTGCACACTTTCTCTCTCTCTGCTGCTGCTGAGTCTTCACCTATGACGTGCTCGCCGTGCTCGAAAGCTTCCCTTCGTGTGGTAGCAGTGCTAGCAGCAGCTTTGGCCCTCTGCTGCAGTAGTCGATGTTCGGCGTTCGCGTTCACAGCACAGCTGTCTCGCCCAGCAGCGGTCTTACGGCAGTCGCACAGCAGCAGCAGCAGCAGCAGCTCTTGGTCGTGGGATAGACGGGTGCAGCAACAGTTCAGGTATCCTGTAAACCTGATTGTTCGTGTGTGCCGCCTACCCCAGAGAGTGTCCATGGAGGTGCTGCGTTAGGTGGCATTTTGGTTGATCATGTGCCAGTCGTCTAGTCTACGCATATCAGGTTCATGAACACCTTCCTGTACCAACATCAACCAACCTCGCCCCGCCGTTGCGCCCATGGACCCGGCGCTCCTGGCTGCTGGCTGCTGTTACCACGAACGCTTACCATCGCCACGAGGCGGAAACCGAACTGAACGAAAAAAACACCGTCGCCCATCACGACAATGCGGACTACTGCTGTGGGTACTAGAGCTCCTTGCTACCGGAGTGTATCACTGCTGTTGTGTACTACTGTAAACTGCGGCATAGACTACATCAGTACGGACGGCAATAGAACGCTGGACACTCGTGTAGACTACCGCTGTGTATCCTTCATGAATGCCATGTGATCATACACAACACTAACTTCGCACTGCTATGTCGTACTTGATCCCAAGCAGGGCACTCGACGCACGATCACGGGGAAGAAGCGAGAGGCACTTGGCCGGCGGGGTAGGGCGAGGCCTCTACATGGCGCAGGAGACGCTCATCCTTACGGAGGAGAACGTCGTCGCCGTGCTGGCCGAAGTGAGGAATATGCCTATCAACATATCGCGTTACTGAAGATACCATACTGCCGTAATTCAAAGATAGGTACTTGTACTTGGATGAGCTTTGGACTACCGTCAGCGAATGGCTGGTTTTCCAGTGGTCATGGTGCTCTTCGACAGGTAACCACCGTGGCGTCGATGCGACGCGTGTGCCCAGAAGTAGAGAGGCGACAGCTGAGTCATGGTTTCAGCGAGCGTAAAACTAGGAGCAAAGGCAGCTTGCCACTGGGGTCGAAACTGGTGAAAATTGGATGGTCTCCATGTGGGACCTCGATCGTACCACCTTGGCCTCTGGCATATATCCAGTGCAGGCCGACCTACAGCAGTAGCACCTATCGAACCCGTCCGTGGACGGGGTGCATTACTGTCTTTCACACGTTTGTCAACATCCCGTATACCCCTTAACACACGGGCTTTTCCCACCAGCCAGATGGTATGTCTCGGGATATGGATAGTTTCGCACTTGCGTGCTTTTTCTCAGCAGCGCAATATGGCTCGTCGCCCACTTCCTGGCTCTAGCGCCCCTATCAAAGCTGAACCTGCTGCTGTTGGAACCAAGGAAGTCTCGATTGCGTGGATTATTTTGCCTTCCCCATGAGGACCCTTTCGCACTCCATCCATGCACAACAGGCGAAACGAGAGCTCAGCACGCTGTTTGGCAACAACGCAGAGAACACGGCAGTTGGGATTACGGGCGACTGCGAGTTCGTGTGCCTGGATGGGCCCAGCGTGGTAGTCCGTCTAACCGGAAGATTCTGGCACGAAAAGACCACGGTGAGAAACTGTTGGAACAGGGGGGGCGGGGGGAGCGTTACTCTTATGTTTTCATGCTTCAGCGGTTAGACATTGGCCACGCGTCTTCGAGATGACGGAGCATTGTTCCCATAGGACCGATCACCGATGGCCAATCGCTCCCTCCTACTTTCCCAAAGGTAGCTCAAAAATATTTTGCGAACGGGGGGGCGAGATAACGAGCAAGGACGCTGACAACACCGATGTTAACCAGATATGGAGAAACAGAAAAAGCAGACAGAGGGATCGAGAGCGGACGGAGACATCGACACGCAGTTGGACGATAAATGCACGGTGATACACGCTGCTTTGTCGCCTTGCATTTCGTGCATCTGGCGGAACGCGTATCCCGCTTACTTTCGAGTAAAGATAAGATACCAAGATTTATTTTTGGCGAGCTCCAGCACATGTGTACTCGCCTGCTTCTAACGTCCTCTGGGTTATTGTTCGATGCTTCAACATTCAACAGGTGCTTGCCCGTGTGGGCAACTTTGTGCAAACGCGCATCCCCGAATGCGTGGACGTCGAGATCGAAGACCCTTCGCAGCTGGAGGACGCGGATCCTCCTCAAGGGCCAGGGCAGGCCGAAATGTAGATTTTGCCAACCAATACGACTATGCAACGCAGACCCGCATATGGATGCTAGATAAATGGTGTGTTTGCCCAACATCTATCATGTCGGGATGAACGCGGAAGTTTATTGACTGGAGTCGCGCGTTTTTTTCGGTGACCGCCCGTGGTAGATGACTCCTGTTTTGTTTCTTTCATTGTGTTTTTTACTGGGTGTGGGCGAAGAGAGCATGCTGGAGTGTGATGCATGTTGGTGCATGGTAATGCGTTTTTTGTCGTGTAGTGAATGATGTATGTCGACGACGTCAAAACAATATGTATGGCGATTGTTGTCGTTTCCCAAACGAATTCGAGCGTTATGAAACTGATGGAAGCATACATGCCTCGATGGCGGGTTCTTTTGAAATGCCATGCTTCCATCAGCCGCAGACAAGGGTTTGTGTACTGCGTTACTTCAACGCTTTCCACCAAAATCACGGGAAATGTGGTCCCGTTATGTACGAAGAGTTTGCACGCAATTTCTGGAAAACTGTGTGGTCGAAGAAAGAACAGCACGCGAGGCCGAGGCCATGTCCCCTCGAGGTTGGTCAGCGTCTACTGTACTGCTGTGTAGACTGATGCAGTACGACGATCACTGCAGTGGGATCACACCATCATCCCCAACAAACTGCGACGACCGCAGTCCCCTCTTCTGCTCAACCCCAACGCGTGGTGCGTGGTTCACCTGCAGCGGCGACAGTTCCCTCTGGAGCTGACGACTGATCTTTCGTTCTCTGTGTTGGTGGAACCAATTTTTCCTTTTCCGCAGTCGTCACCACAGGTATCTCAACCCTCAAATTGGGCGGCTTGACTTCTGACCAGCAAACCTTCGGGCTTACCTCGAAACACTTCTCGCTTGCTATTCGGATCTATCTGTACTGTGGGTGTTGCACCTGTGTTGGGACAAGTACCCACAGCCCCAATGGTCGCCACGGGCGGGCCGGGCAACACAGCAGTTGCCGCCATGGAAATTCCGCAGACAGACACACCCCGTGCCCGCTTCGGCTATGCCGCCTACTTTGTGTTAGAGCCCCTGACTGATTGAACACCCCGCCTGCTGTCTGCCGGCGACCACTTTCCGTGCTGCAAGAAGAGCTGGAGATCATCATGTGTTTGTAACTCTGTACACCGAAAGATTTGTTTTTGCACAGAACTCCGCCTTTTCACTGCAGTCCCTTTCCGTAACCGATTCTTGCTGCTTTTTCACGACCCATTCTTTCTCGGGCTCAATAGCGTGGAAGTCGGCTGTGTTGCTGCCTCGTTTCTGCTGCTGCTGCTGCTGCTGCTGCTGGCCAGATCTTCCCCTGTGTGCAACTGTGTGTGTAAAGTAGGATTGATCATTTGATGCGTCCCTCCCTCATCCCTTGAAAAACGCCTCAAAACGTAGCCTTGTTGCATGTATTCCACGGCGCCCCCGACGTCTTGGTTGCCCAGTATACAGCAGTTCAGTGCAATTTCAGTTGTTCCCACAACACAGTCAAACACGATAAGCAGGACAACGAGGGGGCGTGGCCGAGTCAATTGCGTTGGCTCTTGTTCAGCCCTTGACGATCTCTCGTGCAACCCCCCGACATGAGCGACAACAACAAGGATAAGAGCTGCCGCAGCAGTAGCAGCAGCGGCGGCACCTCGGAGGTACTGTTTCGCTGGCCCGACTCTGGAGGAGCAAGCAACGTTTGCGTTTCCGGGGCTTGGTGCGGATGGGTGAGTGTGTGTTGACGCGGACAAAGCAGAAGAGACAAGAGCAGGGCCTGCGTGTTGTGTTTTACGTTTGTTCTCTGCTCGAAATCTTTCTCCCACACGCTCCTGAAGCTTTTTTTCCAAAATGATGTTGTGACATCAACTTATCCGAAAGACACATACGTTCGTCTGTAGTAAGACCGCTCTGTGCGTGCATATGTGCATATATGTATTTCATGTGGGTACGCCTGCTGGTTGCAGCTTGGCCGCTTCGGCGCATTTTGTAGCTCTCGAGGCCTCTTGCTGTTCCCGAATTGATCCCAGCCAGAGCAACAGCAGCATCAACAGCAGCAACATCAACATCACTCGATGCACAGGGTAGCTGGGGGGGGTCGCGTATCCATCCCACACGGCCGCCGCATTATTTCAAGAACTCTGGTCGCCATATTTGATGACACAACTTTGGCGTGCATCCATGGTACATTATACATTGAGTATCAGAAGACTGATGAACAAGAATTGTTTCACGCATGTATTTGTATTTCGAAGTACAAGATTTGGTCTTGTCTTGACATCGGTATACTACTTGTAGTCGACTGGCTTTTGTCTCTCTCTGTCTTCGTCGGCGAAGCTGCTGGTTCGAGATGCCGGATTCCGGCCGCCGTACAGCAGTAGCAGCAGCAGTACATGTCACAGCCGCAGTGACGGCATTCTCGAGTTTTGGGCCATATGGCGGGCGCATACATGCAGTCAGTCATGACGTCACCAGATTCCCGACTCGCCTCTGGAATTACTTTATCGTTCTGTTCTTGTTGGTGATGGTGGTGTGCGTGGTGGTGGTTTGGTTGTCTTGAAACATTGATAGCCGTTCCGGTCTCCGCTCAGTACAATAGTACCTTCTAAAATCCGTGCTGGTCCAACTGACACGGACGCCTTCCTTGGTCACCAAAGTCAACTATAATACACTACCCGAAGAGGGGATGAAACTGTGAAGTGAGACACCGAACCACTTCATGAGAATGCGAGAGGTTACTTCAATGCCTTTTTGTTTGAAGTGTTTAACAACTGAGGACAGCTAGACTATGTACCTCCGAGTGTTCATAACACAACAGAGGACTATTGTAGCTAGATTACCTTGGAGTGTGTTGTTGTTGCCCCCTAAGGCGAGCTCCAACCTACTGGTACACGCTTATCATGAACAACATACAATAGAAGGGACCAAACAACGCAAATGGGCGCAACTCTGCAGAAAATTCGAAGGACTTCGTTTCCTTGTTGTCTCGTGTGCCGCCCAAACCTTCAAGCAAGCGCGCACCGCCAAAAGAGAACCAAACCACGCCTGCACAGCGCGCTCAAAGAGGTTGATGGTTGATAGACCACACCTATGTGCTGCGCTGGCCTATCGCATACTTAAGTTTGTCTGATTGCTCTGTTTTCCGGGTTGACACTTTTTGCTTTTACCGTATCGCGGTCATTTTTTTTCCTTGTTTTGTTTTGGCATGAAAAAAAAAGTCTGAAACTGGAACGCGACTGTCTTCTGCGGAGGACAAGGACGGGCGGGTGCTGTTCTCCGGAACGGTCCTCCTGCCGCGCGGCAACCACAAGTTCCGGTTCGTCGTAGACGGAGAGTGGCGCCACGACCCGAAGGTGAACAGGCGGGAACCAGAACCAGAAGAAACTTGTCTTGCGGGCTATTGTTCGTGCAGTACAGCAGTATGCATGTTTTTGGTGCGACTCAAAATTTCTTTTCGCGTGTTCTCGTTGTGTTCGCCTCTCTCAAACCTCGCCAGAAAGACAGAGAAATGTAAGCATAGCGTGTGTTTGTGTGTGTTTTTATTACTAGCATCGACCGCGCTTACCGGCTGACCAATGAAAAGACATCAGTCTCATTGCGGTTGAAAACACAAACTACTTCTAAATGCCATTAACTGGGACCCGGTGAGGGGGCGGCATGGGGGAGACTAACCTATTTGTGTGTGTGTGAGAGAGATAGAGATAGAGATAGAGAGAGAGAGAGAGAGAGAGAGAGAGAGAGAGAGAGAGAGAGAGACAAAGAGAGGGAGAGAGAGAGAGAAAGAGAGAGAGAGAGAGAGAGAGAGAGAGAGAGAGAGAGAGAGAGAGCTTTTCATGCGGCAGAGTTGGGCTCTCGCTGCTGGAACAACCCAACCCAGCACTTTTCTTGTTCTTGCCCCTGGTCCGCTACTTGTTTGACTTGTTTTTGTCTGGAGGAAGGCTGTGCGTGTCCCCCTCACGCGCCGTCTCTGCCTCCGCCCCCTAAATCGCCTCTTCTCTCCCCTCTGGTCCTTCGTCGTTCTAATATTTGGTATGATACATGTTATTGGCGGTTTTGTTTGTTCCGCGGGAATTCTCGAATGAACGCGGCGTCTGCAGCTGCCGACCGAACGGGACGAGGCCACCGGGGAGGTGTGCAATGTTGTCAAGGTTTCTCCCAAGGGCGATCTACGGGTACGGCTACCGGAGCAAGTGAGTGTCTATTGCTGTGCCACTGCTGTTGGTTGCCCTTTGCTGTTGCCTTTTTGCTGTTGCGCCTTTGTTTGCTTTTGCTGGGTCGTCGTTCGAATTTCGGCCGCGTTGCCGCGGTTCCGTCCACCTCCTACTGCGTCTCGTGCGTGTGTCTTCGTGTGATCATTGTTACTACTCTCTGTTTTTTTACACAAGCTGTGCATGCTCGCCCATCCCCTTCGTTATCTGACGTCACAAGAGACGATGATTTATCTGTAGAAAAACCCAGCGTGCTTCGTTGTAAGGACTGATATTGTTTTCTCAACCGAGAGACGCGTGGTCGTCGATGACGATCGAAACACCAAGGGGCGTGCTCCCCCCCCCCCTCCCCCCCCTATCCCCGTCCGACGACCCTCCCGTCCCGATGCCTGATTCATGGCGGACTTCCCAGATTCTGTCCGAAGACATGAACAGCGCGGAGGCGACGGACTACCTCAACTCCCTCAAGGAGTACGGCCTCAGCACGCCGAGCCCCCCAAAATCGTCCCTCAAGGCCTCGAGCTACTTCGGAGAAGGCTACGACGACGGGGGTGACGACGCTGCTGCTGCTGCTGCTGCCGGTTCCGGTGCTGCTGCTAATCCGGCATCATCATCATCTGGTGCCGGTGCCGAGGCTGCTTGCCCTGCAGACGGCGTGAACGCCGCTACCGTTGCCGATGACGTCGCCGGCAGCAGCAGCGATGCTGCTGCTGCTCGTGCATCATCCGCTGGCGGCGGTGTTGCCGGCAAGGGAACGGCGTTGTTAGGGGGGGGGGGGGGAGGGGGGCAGCAGGACGACTGCCTGGAGCAGGCGTCGCAAGCGACCCGGATGGCCCGGGTGATGATGTCCCGGCGGAGGAGAGAGGTGGAGGCGTCGTCCCTCGCGGCGGTGGGAGCTTGCCTCGTGTCCTCGTCGGTGCGGAAGGACGGAAAGGTAGGAAAGGTACTGTAGGAGGTGAAACGTGGACCACGCGTCGCCGCCCGCCGTCGCGGTGGTTGCGCCGTGTGGTGTTTGTTGTCGTAACGCTACTATAACGCGGTGCAGCAGTTTCGAAAAGTGTCCTCGCCAATGCGGAAGGATGGAAAAAGGTGCCACGCATGTTGCCCGTCATCGCCGTGTTGTCAATAGTATCGCTCCTGCTTTTGCTAGCGGTAACTTCACGCGGTGCAACGATAGTGTTTCAAGTAGTTTTTGTGTTCTCCTCATCCTCGGTGGTACCAGGTATTTTTTTTTTTTTTGGCAGATGGGTGGTTGTAAGGGGTTGGCGGTTGGGGGGGGTATTGCGCTTGATATGGCGTCCTTGGTCTATCGTCTGCCGGCTTGCGACGATGTCGAGGGGAGGGGGGTAGGTTGCATCTTGGCCTGACTCGTGCGCCGGCGCGTCTGATGGCGGCGAGGCGGGACGCGTGCTGGTTGCGTACTGGATCGTGTTTTCTTGGTGTGGTCTACTGATGTTGGTGTGCATATAGTAGGGTGTGCACCCCAGATGGTAGTTCCTGGTTCTAGATACAAGTATGTGTGTCTTTCGCCTCAAACTGCCTGATCTTTCCGATGAACGGTGGGTAGGTTGTCGCACTGCACGAAACGTTAAACTGATCGGCAGTGTATTGACGGCACAGGAACGGCAGGACGTCGAGGGGGGGTGACACATGCACTCATGTACTGGTGCATACGCGGTTCGTTCAAATCGTCAAATAACTCTGACAAAGATTCAACATACACATTCGAACACGCCCCCCCCCCCCCCCCCCCTGTTTTGCCCCTTTAACAAATTCTTTTCGATCGAACACGAACACACCC